AAAAACGAAATCAATTGGTTCATACATAGCTCAAACAAAAGATTTAAGTAAAGATTAAACCTAAATTTGCATTGATTCTCCTCAAAAACGAATGTAGGGTTGATTCTCTGGTTTCCAGCACCTTAGCAGCACTTTCAATCGTTGCTTAGCCTCCAAGGGTTCATGAGAGAAACCGGATGTCGATCTCAAAGCCCCTATTTGTAGATTTCTGGAAACAGGGTTGACTCGTCGAGTCCAGGGACCGACTCGCCGAGTCCTTCATTAAAAATCCGTGTACGGCAAGGACTTCTATGTTCTTCGTGACTCGTCGAGTCAGGAGTTGACTCGCCGAGTTCTTCATGATTTTGACTCTTTTTCTTCTTTCTTCAATTTCATTGCTTCCAATAGCTAGTCTTGATTCCTTTTGCTTCCGAGCATGTCTTTTAGGCTGAAAATACAATTCAAACGTAATTAAGCACCTTTTGTTCAATAATCGCATTAAAATAGCCAAAAAGTATTAAGATTCTATGCAAAATATATGATTAAATATGCACATATCACTGATCCATACTCCTGGATCTAAAAACAAGTAACTATGTCCTAACCATACTCTCGGACTAAGGACAACTAGCTAAGTCTAATCCATACTCTCGGATAAATGACAAGTTTTAAAGTTATTCCCTCCGTGTATATCTCACTTGTACTCATAAGGAGATACTACCCAATATCCCTCTTAATTTATTTAGGTCTACTCTGTATCCTAAATCATCATATATTTATCAGATATGCTCTTAACATGTATTTCAGGCAATATCAAAACCAACTATTTCATCTACCCATGTTCTACCCAACATATTCGTAGATATAAAATACATATACAGTTCAGATTTGAAGAAAAATTTTAGATCTGAAATGAAATTACATATACGGTTCAGATCTAAAGAAAAAGGTCTAGATCTGAAAAACAAGGTTTAAATCTTTCATCCAGCATCGATCTCAAGTATAAAATACATATACGGTTTAGATCTGAAAAAGAAAGTTTAGATCTGAAAAGAAAAAGTTTAGATCTGAAGAGAGAAGTTTAGATCTTCAACACAGATCTCAAGTAAACAGATAATATGCACACATAGCACGTAATTTATATAAAATATTTCATATCTATGTGTAAGTAACTATGCATTCACACATAAACTCTTTAAAAGATATTTAACTCTTTAAAAGATATTTAATACTTTAATTAATACTTGTATTAAAATAATGTTCATGAAGGGACTATGCATTCACTTGATATGGTGGTGATTCCAACTTGGACAACGCTTCGCTTCGACGAAACCGAGAGGTTTCCTTGAAACTGGGTTCTGCACGGGCAGAGTTTCAAACCGAAAAACTCTTTTTATCGGAGCCTCCGGGCACTCCGAGGCTTTCTTCAAGTGCTAGGGAAGTTTCATAGGCTTTTGGGGATGTTTTGGGAGGTTTGGAGAGTGGGTAGAGAGGGAAAGAAAGGGTAAAAAGTGTGAAAAATGAAGGAACTCTCGAGTGGTATTTATAGGATGAAAAAGTGGTGAACTCATCGAGTTTCTGGCCCAAATCGTTGAGTTTCGGACCCCCAACTAGTCGAGTAGCTGGTCCAACTCTTCGAGTTGGTGCCACGTTTCGTCATCTGGTGCGGAGTAAGCAATGGCTCAGATTGCGCCACATCACCCATTTCGTTGCAGCACCCTGCCGACTTCTAAACCCCGTAACTTTCGCATACGATCTCCGTTTTCAACATTCTTTATATCCACGCGTAGGTGGGAACATTCTCTACAACTTTCGTTTAGACTCCATTGGCGAATTATCGATTGATTATAAATTTAATAGCATGAGAAGATTACACTGCTAAAACGACCGTGTAGAATTCATAACTTCTACATACGGACTCCGTTTTCGACTGTCTTTTTATCGCTAAACTCATATTAATGAGATCTTCAATTCTCATTTAGGTTGTGTCGGCTAAAAATCGCTCGATCTAAAATTCGAACTCCGGGCTGTACACTACTATGCCAAATCTTAGAAAATTCATAATTTCCTCATACGCAGTCAGATTTTGACGTTCTTTTTATGCACGCTCTCGGTTTAACGTATACTACGAATTTCGTTTAGATCGCTAAGGCTAAAGAGCATTTTATCATAAAATCACTTTTTTACGTCACATAACGTCGTGCCGGTTTTGTCGCGAAACTTCGACAAGTCATAACTTCTTCGTTACAACTCGGATTCTGGCGTTCTTTATATGTACGGAACCCTTGTGACATATACTACAACTTAGTTAAGATTATTTATTACAAATAACCTTCTATCAAAAAGTCATTTTCGCCGCTTATTGTGTCTTAACTGACTAGCCCGGATCTGCGGGCGTTACAATGAAAACAGAAGTGGTTGAGATAGAAGATGAATATAGCATGAAGTGAACATGAGAAGACATGAAGATAGAGTATGAGATGAGTATGAAAACTGATGAGAAGGCATGCAGTGAGATAGAGTAAGAGAAATGAAAGAAAGAACAAGAGTAGTACAGTATAAATACATGAGAATAGATTAAAATATAACTCATCAAACCTGTGGCCTGATGTTGTAGATTTTTTCATGTGTTGCACGTTCAGTTGGTAACCATTCTACGAGAGGACGTAGGAGCACCAGGATTTGGATTAGAAGTAGTTTTTATATTTAATACACCTTGTTGCTTTAAATGATGATTATGACTTTATTGTAAACCTGAATGTAGCCTGGGATGTAGAATTTTTTTGAGCTTAGAATTCCACATTTGTTAGAAAACTCTGATAAATCCCTAAATTGTTAGATTGAAAAATTCATGTCCTTACAATTTTGCTCATCTAAGACCTAGTCCCAACAAAGTTGACCAAAAGTCCAATTTGGTCAAAAAGTCAACAATCCACGTCATCTCACCGCGACCAACATAGTATCGCGGCGCTACTTGCTAGGCGACAAAATAGTCGCGATCTACCTGAAAGTCGTTGGTGCTATAAGGACTGAACTCATACACCCCGCTCCCGAGTTCAACTTAAGGAGAGAAAAGGAAGGAAATTGGTGGAAATGAGAGGAAAGTAAGAGAGATTGATGCTCCCGAGTTTCATTAAAGGAAGGAAGTGGAAGGAAATGGAAGGATCACTTTCCCTCCTAACTTTCCTTCCGATTTGGGAGGATTTGAAAAGAAAGAATAAAATGTTTAACTTTCCTTCCATTTCTCTCCAACTCGAGAGCACAAAAGACAAATTTGTTTTCCTTTCTTTTCTCTTCTTTTCTCTCCTTACTTTCGTTTCTCTTCTCTTCTTTTCTTTGCTTCAACTCGGGAGCGGGGTGATAGTGCGAACTTTGCAGATATGCCAATTTTCATCCATGTCTTAATCCTTTAAGACATAATATCTAAACCTCTAGAACTCATAAAAATATAGTCTTAATGGATAACATTTCCAACTTTATCCATTTGCATCTCCTTAACATCATAAATCCAATTCTAGGTCAAAATGGGACCAAAAAGCTCTTAAACTCATGTATGGACCAAATGACAAGATGAACTTCTCATCGTCTTACCACAATAGGTCCAGAAGATACAAAAACACAACCTTTAAGGTTGGAGTTCTTTAAACTTCAACCAAACATTAACTAAAGGACTAAAATATGAATACAATCATAGATCTAAGCTTAATAACACATAAAGCTTCAACCTTGGAGACTTACAATGGTCCAGAAGGTGTTCAAAAGGTCGAATCTAACTTGTTTCTTTCTTCATTGCTTCACCAAATACACATTCTTCTCCTTCAAGGTGCATAAACAAGCATGATAAGCTCAAATATCAAAAAGGGAGGCTAAGGTTTGATGTAAGTGCTCTGAGTGTTATGGAGACTGAGGGTGGAGCAAATCCTAGACATCACATCCTTTAAATAGGGCTCAAAGCCCGAGATCTAAGGTTTTGGGCCCTGACAGCTTCATGTCGCTAAACCTGGCCTTCACGACGCTACAGGTAGCACGCCCATCGTGACGCGAGTCAAGTCTAATCTCAGCGTGATTTTCATAATTTTCGAATACTCAAATTAACTTGCACAATTCTTCAATTTTAATAATTCACACCTGAAAAGTAGGTGTTACACTTCCTACTTATTAGATTAAGACAAATGTCAAAATCAAGAGAAAATATTAAGAAAGAAAATTAATAGATTTCACGTATTATTAGTTTATATGAATAGAAAGATGAATAGAAACAAAATGTATGAAGATATTTAGTTTTCTCTTCCTACGTCTCAAAATACCAAAAGTGTTGTTATAAAATCATTTTTTTCATAACATTTTTTTTTATCTTCCCTAAAAATAGTAAAAACCTAAAAGATATTATTAACCACATCCGTTTATATCCTAAGACCATAAAATATACTCACTAAGATATACTCACAACGTGACCACTTCTCAAGTCATCACCATTATCACATTATTTTTTGCACATACCCACCACACCACACCAACAAAATAATTTATTTTTTATTTTTTAAATAAGTGAATTATATTTTTTAATTAACTAAAGGAAATAAAAGCATTAGATTTTCATTAAACTAAAATATTATATAACTCAAAATAAAAATACAAAAAGAGAAAATTAAACATAGAAAAGAAAGGTTAAAATAATAAGAAAATTACTTAGAAAATCATTTTCGAGAATTATGCATCTCGCATTAATGTTTAGGGTTAAGTTGGGATTTTTTATATTGTTTCAGCTCCTCATCGATTACCTCGAAGCTGTTACTCTTATCTATGGTTGAACTTGGTTTTTTTAACCTCATATTGTCATCGTTTACCTCGAATTACTCTTATATCTATTTGAATGTGTGTTTTGAGTTATGTGTAAATATGGTTGAACTTGATTTTTCTAACCTCATATTGTGAAATGTGAAAGTGGTTTTTAATAGATTGACAAAGACATTATCTTTTTATCAAAGGATTTTCGGATACGAATTCTTCTTTTTCTTTCCAATTGTTGGAGAGGTGTTGCTGTGGACGGCCGTGATGGCCTTGCCACCCGGCCACAGTACCCTTAATGATACGTATACCATTCGGCTGTAACTGCCAGTGCCATCCGTCGTGTAAAAGTAAAAACTCCTCATTTTGTTTCTCCCTGTCTTAAATGGGAATATACCGAAACCGACCTACTTCTGAATCAACAAGAAACCAATTGCATGGCTCCACCCGGAATCAAAAGGCCGTAAGTGACTACAACAGTCCGACATGTGTCCTTTGCGCTAACTCCATATCAAGAAAAGTGAAAAATCCAATTTCACCTCTTCTTTACAAAACCTCATTATAAAACCCTCCACAACCTGTCTTTGGATTCTCCATCTTGCCTTCACACAACTTTTATCTTTACATACACACAAGATTCTGTAATCTTTAACTTTAAGCGTAATAATTACGCAAAGCATCAATCCATGCCTGTAGAATCCGCGTTTAAAGGTACTATAAACGGCTGTTAATCTTAATTTCTCTTTTATTTTTTTTGTGTTTCTAGTTCAATTGGAGTTTAGCAGTTCGGTTGTGGTCCAAAAATGAATGCAGCAATCGAGAGCGACGAAAATGTGTTGCAAAAGCACGTTGCTTTCTTTGATCGTAACAACGATGGTGTGATTTACCCCTGGGAAACTTTTCAAGGTCGGTTCATTCGATTTACTTCGAAATCTCTTTCCATGTATTTTGATTTCTGTAATGATTCTGAAGTATGCCTAAACTATCAATCAGCAATTCCTGTGTTAATTTGAGAAATGTGTTTTTTATTTTTTTCAATTTGATGTGATTAGGGTTTCGAGCAATTGGGAGTGGAATTCTGCTATCCTCAGTCGCTGCTCTCTTCATTAATATGGGTCTCAGTGGAAAAACTCGCCCTGTATGTATCTTATCTTATCTTTCTTTTTCAATTCGTTGCATGATTATGAGCTTATTATGAATGTTTTTTCAATTAACCAATATTATATTGCCGTATTGGGATCACAAATCTAGGTTTTTTTATTTGGTTGAAACAGGGGAAGAAGTTCCCCAATTTACTCTTCCCGATTGAGATCCAAAACATAAATATGGCAAAACATGGCAGTGACTCTGGCGTCTACGACACTCATGGAAGGTATATGTCATTTTACGTAGTTTTCATACCACAAAATGACTTCTTCTTTCACCCTTCAATGGCAGATTTCAATGAATTATTGGCCGTTGGATCTTTCAAACAAACTTAACCCACATATTTTTATTTTACGTATGTGTGAATTGAATCTAAGGATACACTTATGCCACGTGTTTTAAGGTTTGTTCCTTCAAAGTTTGAGGAGATATTCGAGAAGTATGCACGAACGAATTCAGATGGGTTGACAGCAGATGAACTCAAAGAATTTATCAAAGGAAATAGGGAACCAAAAGGCTATGGAGGATGGTGATTAACAACTCATACTCAAATCTTACATGTTGCATCATGGTTTTTTTTTTTTTTTTTATACAAAATGGTATTCAAATTTGTTGCAGGATTGGAGGGTTTACAGAATGGAAGATCTTGTATTATCTGGGTAAGGATGAGAAAGGATTATTGAAGAAAGATGTGGTTAGAGGTGTTTATGATGGAAGCTTGTTCCATAAAATGGAGGAAGAAAAGGAAAAGGCTAAAGCGTCCAAGAAGAAACACATGTAAAACTCTTTACTGTTTTATAAGATTATGTTGAAGATGATGAAGGATTATTTAGGGTTTTTTTGTTTTTGTTTTTTCGTTTTGCAGTGATAAGTAAAGAAGTGAAGGGTGAAGATGGTGTGTGAATTTTATGTATGGGAAGAACATTGAATTGTGTAAGTAATAATTTTATTTGAATTTTCATTATCTTATAGACCTTGTAAACATTAAATAGATTGAAAGAGCTTGATCTTAAAGTTATAGTGTTGTGTTTATGTCAGATTTGTGTGTCGTCAGTTTCTGTTTTTTGGTGTATTTAAACCAGTTAAAATCTTTTACCCAAACCTGTTTTTTGGTGTTGGGTTTATGTCAGATTTGTGTGTCGTCAGTTTCTGTTTGTTGTAATTTTTTTATTTGTTTTTAGTTGGATCACAACGATATGAATGTATATCATAGTTTTCTCTAATGATATGCTTGAACCTTTAACCATCATTTTATATGATAAATATAAATTGTTACAGTTGAAATATTATGTTTGTGTTTTGTAAGAAATAGATTTTGCCTATTAGCATGTCTAAGATTTTACTATTTGAGGAACTCCATCGAGGATTTATGAAAAGTGTTTTATGATTTGAGGAAGTCTTTCTAAGATTCTCATTGATGGGGGAGAAAAAGGCCTTTTTAAAGGTTTCTTTTTAAACAAGTGTCTTGGGATATAATCGTCTTAAAATAACCAGCCCTCAACTATTCACCTACAAAAAAAATATCCTTAAACCACCCTTAATAAATAACTACATATATAAATTATATAACTTATGGTGGGGACAAAATGGTTATACAACCTAATTTTTTTTATTGTATATTCTATATATTTGAGGATATTTATTTATATAATTTATCATGAGGATAAAAATTTATAATAACGATAAGAGATCTAACTCGTCCTGAATCTTTAAGGATATTTAATTCTTCAGGAACCGATCTGTAACTTATTAAATGACTGTAAGACAAATCAAATCGGGGGTTGTTGCCACCTTCGGTAAATAACTAAATATATAAATTGTTATTAAATGACCATGAGAGACTAAAATCAAATAAAGGGTTGTTGCGGAGTTCATAATATAAACTACTGAAATATAAAATTAGTCTGTGTGGTGAATCATTCCTTAGGGTGGAGCGATTTTATGATTTTATCCCTTCATTCCCTCCAAACCTCCATGTAATGTCGGTATAACATCACTTTTTCTAAAAATTTTTGGGAAAATGACTTGCGAGGGTAACTATCTTTTCGTCTTGTTCATATTTAGGTAACTAAATTTTTTTTGTATTTATTTGATCATTTAACTTGTTAAATGTGTTCACATATTACCATTATTACTTGCTATAGCGGGTAACAATGGTAATATGTGAATACATTTAACAAGTTACATGATCAAATGTGTACAAAAAAAGAAAGCTGTCTAAATGTGAACAATTTGTTTATATAAATTCTTAAGATTTTTTATAATTTCTTACAACATTTTTATGATATTTTTTTCCTATAGGTTTTTCTAATACAATGTTTTAAACCTTGCTTATAATTTTTTTTATATTTTTTTTATACTTTCATATAATTTTGTTACAAGTACTTTTAAACCAAATATTTTATAAATGTTTTAAATTTTTCTTACAAGTTTTTAACTTGTTTTTTTTTTACATTTTCATACAATTTTTTTAAAACTTTAGTACATTTATTTCTAAACTTTCTTTTACAATATTTTTAAAGTGTTTTACAAATTTTGTATGCCAATTTAATATTTTTTATAACATTTTAAAATACTTTCGTTGAATACTAGTTTAAAACGTTATATTAAAAAAAAATTAAACGCTTATAAACTTCCAATTAAAAAGTATTAAAAAGTTTTAATTTTAAAACATTTACATTATATAGATTTTTTTGTTTTTTTATTTGCTAAGTAATATTTTCTTTTTATTTTTTTAAAAGACCTTTCATACTTATTGTTACATATTTAATTTATTTAATTTTATTATTAGATACTATTTACTTTAAAAATATTTAAAAATATTGTATATGCTTCAAAACAAAAGAAAAAATTTATAAGAGGTTATATAAAATATTTTTCAAAACAAAAACATATTTATTAATTAAAAAGTAAAGTTTAAAATTGATTAATATTTAAGAAATTATGGATATTTTAAAAATAACGTTTAAAAAAATAATACAAACAAATATGAAAAATAAAATCGCTATTAAAAGTGGAAAAAATGACTTATCAAGGTAATTAACTTTCCGTTTTGTACACATTTAGACAACTTTCTTTTTTTGTACACATTTAACAATTTAACTTGTTAATTTGTTCACATATTATCATTGTCACCTGTTATAGCTGGTGACAATGGCAATATGTAAACACATATAACAAGTTAAATGGTCAAATATGTACAAAAATAAAGAAGTTACCTAAACGTAAACAAAACGACAAAAATGATTACCCTGGTAAGTTATTATCCCTATCCGGTTCATTGCCTTTTGTTGGTTTGTGTCGCCAGTGTTCTTATAATACCTTTGAATAAATCTTGTGGAATTTTGAACTCCCATATATGTGATTTATAAATGTTTGCTCTTTAGAAAGAAAAAGAAAACTGAAGGGGTATTTGGTTTTTAGAACGAAGGAAAACAGAAAATATTTAATTCCTGATTTATTCTCGCAAACAATTTCCCTTATTAGATTTTCCTTAATTCGCTAGCAAAACGCCACGTGTTCACCAGAAGCTCCCGTAAAACCAATAACCAACCACCATCCACTAAAATGCCTTCTCCTTTTCTTCTTCTTCTTTCTTCTTCTCGATAACCAATCAAACACACACCAGATCTAGGGTTTGTTCGTTCTTTTCGTTCGTTTTTCACACAATATCAATCAACAATGGCGTTAGAATGGGTGGTGCTAGGGTACGCTACAGGCGCAGAAGCAATCATGGTCCTTCTTCTCACCATGCCAGGTCTTGGTCCGCTCCGAAAAGGGTTGGTCCACGTCATCCACAGCCTCCTGAAACCATTCTTCTCCGTCGTCCCATTTTCCGTGTTTCTGTTCATGGATATCTACTACAAATACGAAAACTACAGACAGCTTTGTGAATCGCCTGATTCCAGCTGTACCCCAACAGAGCAATTGCATCAACAGAAATCTTTCATGAAGAGCCAGCGTAACGTTTTGTTGATCATCTCCGCTTTGGTTTTTTACTGGTTGTTGTACTCCGTCACTCATATGATCGTCACGGTTGAACAGTTGAATGCCAGGATTGAGAAATTGAAGAACAAGGATTGATCGATCTATCGGATTTCATTCAAGCTCCCAAATTTGCTGTTTATTATTACAAGAAGAGAATATGGTTTGATTTTGGAGTTATTATAATGGATATGGATAGATCTTTAACTCTTAAGCTTCATTAATTTTCTGTAGATATTGTCATCTTCATTTTCATTTCGTATAAAAGGATAAGTAATGCAGATTAATTTAAAACCTATTGAATTTCTATTCCTTTTATTCCCTAACGTGGGTTCATGTTCATCTAACATATATAGTTTGGTGTGTTTTTCTTTTATTCCTTAATTTTTATATAAACCACCTAACTCTATTTTATTTAAGAAAGTCAACATGAGAGATTCTTTAATTTTCTTTAAAAAGACGCCGTTTTTTGTCAGAAATTTGAAGTTTGTGTACAATAAGCATGGCTGATGATAGAGAAAATAATCTGGAGTTCGTTCAAGAAAACAACAAAACGTATAATTTGCATGATTTGTTGTCTTCTGATGCCATGTTGATTGGGAAGGGCAATCTAGGAAATACTTACAAGGTTTTCTTGAAGATTGGTGAAGTTGTGGTTGTCAAGAGATTGAGAGGACAATTTGTTTATGGAATAAGCAAAGAAAATCTTCAAGAACTAGGAGAAGTTTCTCATGAAAATTTGTTGCCTTTTAAAGCATACATGTTTTCAAAGCATGAACACCTTCTTGTTTATGATTACATGCCCTTTGGTAGTTTGTATTCTCTTTTACATGGTAAACCCCAACCTTTTCTCTTTTGTGACTCAAACTGTTTAGCTGCATTCAGTTCGATCACAATATGATTTTGGATTGTACGAAATGCAGCCAATACATCCAAAATCTTGTTTTTGGTGTCCAGAATGCAGCTAAACAAACAGAGATTCTAAATAGAATACCACGACTTGAATTTTTGTTTTTCATCTTTTTGGTGTAGGAGGTAAAGGTAATATGGTTTTGGATTGGGAAACTCGAATGAAGGTTGCTTATGGTGTAGCTCGTGGTATCGAGCATATCCATGGACGAGGTCGTGGTGTTTGTCATGGAAACATAAGATCATCGAATGTATTCTTAAATGAATCCTATGTTGCCCAGATATCTGAATTTGGAATATCTCAGTTATTTAGTAAAGTGGGGTTGTCATCTGAATACTCTGCACCAGAAGTAGTCAAACGTGCAAACCAACAACGCGATGTTTATAGTTTCGGGGTTTTGGTTCTTGAACTTTGTACGGGTAAGGATTTGGTTAGAGAAGAAGAGGGATTTAGCCTTGCGAAATGGGTGAGATTGATGTTCCAAGAAAAGGAAATGATAGATGTTTTTGATGAGAGGCTTCGTGTGTACAAGAAGGAAAAGATTCGGGTGCAAATGGTGCAAATGTTAGAACTTGCGATATGTTGCACTTTTGAGAATCCTAAGAAGAGACCGTTAATTTCAGTAGTCGTTAAACGGATAGATGAGGTTTTGTGTCTCCGTACATATTGCTCCCAAAAATCTCGAAATGTTTTAAATTTAAATTAACAATTTTATACATGAGAAATTAAATATCATCCTATCTTTTCTTCCTATTTATCTTCCTATTTATGTAAAATGATAACATGTGTCATATTTTGATAAGATTATCATTAATTTAATACATTTGTCATCATTTCAAATGGGTAGGAGGATATCTGGAAGAAAAATAGGAGGATATTTAATTTCTCTACATATTAATACTTTGTGAGTTGTAGAAGTGTTATATCAACGTAGATAATTTTTAATGTTCTCCATAAAATAGTAGTTTAATAATACAAATATAAAGATCTTATCTTGGTAAAGTGGGCATATGTAAGCCCAAAACGGTTTATCAGCCCAAAATTAACCCAAAAGGGTAATTGGACTTGGGTAATGGGTATCCCTCTTTGACTTTTGGGTTTGTATATTATGTTTTAATCATGAGTATTAGGTATAAACCATTACTCCATTAGTTTATTTTTTGTATGGGTGCTGTCAATTATTTTATGGAGAATTTTATTCATATGATGTTTGACTTAGATATAATTGGTCAAATGATTAGATATAATAACTACGAAAATTTACCAGATGTTTTATATTAGGATCGGATCAAAAGTTAAGACATACATGAAAGGCTTTTTTTTTTCTTGAAAATCATTTTGGTGGTAACCATGAGTTCCTCCTTTAAGACTCAGGATAATAAATAAATAAATAAATAAAAGTTTTATCGTAGTTTAATAAAAATATTTGTAGATATACAAATTAAAATTTTAAAAAATAGAAAATCTTTTTAGTAATTACAGGAAAGCAACTGAATATTGTATTTTTTTTGTCAATAAAAGTATTCATATCATAAAAAATAATATAGTTTTTTTATTACAATAAAATATATATATATATATATATATATATATATATATATATATATATATATATATATATATATATATATTTCCCCCACAATAAATTCAAGACCCAAGTGGTCATGTTCATGTTAGGTCTGGAATATTTAATTATAAATAAGATAGTTAAACATTATTTTAATTTTCATGTGGCTATCGTAATTTAAAATTTACAAAAAAAAATAATGTTAAAAAGGTTTTATTATGATAAGAAGTTAGGTGGTGTTTGTTTTTTGTCTGCAGATCTGCGTAGCCTCTTCTGTCTGCGCCGCGCAGACCACGCGCAGACATTAGCCTTCGCAGACTGTTTGTTTTTTTGAAGACTGCAGACCTAAAAATGTCTGCACGCCTTCTTCTTGGCGTAGATGTGGACCAAAGTCTTCTAACATCTTCAGACATCTTCTAGCCTAAAAAAACACATATATCTTTATTTTTTTTTTAAGTTTTTTTTAATTTATATTTTTTCCAACTTTATTAATGATAAACAATTTGAAAAAAAAAATTACAAAACTTAAAAAAAAACGTTTGACGATACAAAAATGATATTTTTGACAAATTTATAAATAAATATTTATTATAATAATAGTCGTTGAAGTTGTTTATATAAATATGAAAAAAAATCATAATATATATTCTTATATTTTTTTGCCAAATTTTGTAAAACATTATTTAATACAGTATCGTCAATTTCTCGAGAAAATATTTATGGTACGTTTTTAATGGATTTAATTAAAAAAATCGAAGTTTATTTCCATCCATTTCTGTATCAAATTTTTTGATCCTTAATTATAATGTTTAGTTATAACTTTGCAACCAAAGTTGTTGGTTTTTTATCAAATATATACGTTAATTCATATCATTTTTATTTTTATTTTTTATACAATAATACATAAAAGTTGATCTAGATTTGTTAATTATTTATAACAAAGTCATAAAAATATTAAAAAATCACTTCGAAGTTTAAAAAAATCAGTTTATTTAGATTTCAGTTTATTTTAGTAGCCTGCAGATGTTAAAAAAACAAACAGTCTTCTTTTTTCAGACTGCTGACGTTTGGTCCACCTCTTCTACTGCAGAGGTCTACAGATGTGGTCCGCAGACTGCAGACATATTGTCTCAGAAAAAACAAACAGCACCAATCGTTGGGGATATTTACAAGAAGTATTTTCTCTGTTTTTTATCCATATATTTATTTATTTATTTTAAATTGACTTTTATACTTTCATATCACGATAATCTCATTTTGATTAAAATGAAACATATAAAAATTTAAATATTTTTAGCGAATGAATCAAAAAATAAGTGTTAATATCACCTCTCTTATAAAATGATTATTGGGAACGAACTCATAATCCAAAATGATCAGCTTGTTCAAGATTTGGAAAAGTGACCATTTGGTTGGGAAGGTAGTTTCGAACTATTTATTTTTGTGTTGAATCGTTATAGAAACAGGCAATAGAGTAGACATAATAATTCGCAATGTGACATCTCACATTGCACCTTTTTACATTCCGATGTAGTCCTTATTCTACAGTGATATTTGGACATATGAATTAATAAATTTAATTTTTCATAAGATTTAAACAATTTCATGTTAACTATTTAAATTAATTTTTTTGCAAGATTTAAACAATTTTGTTAAAATTTTATCAATAGAAGTTAATTAAAATAGAACTTTTGTTATCTATATAATTAACGCTTAATTAATAGTATTAATCCAAAAAGATACTTTGTGGGAAATATTCAAATAAATATATATATATATATATATATATATATATATATATATATATATATTTCACCGATGTTTAAAATAACTTATTATGTTATTTTTATATACATTAAAAAATACCTATTTGATTTTTTTTAATTTGATATTCTATAACTGAATAGTTGCAATATATTGTTATCAATTTGTAGGGATGTCAAAAAATCTAATGTGACTCTGAACCCGTGGGACCTCGATCCTATATGAGGATATTTCTTTAAAACTCGGGGGTAAGGGCCGAGGTAAGGTTAATCTCGTTTAATTTCGGGGGTGAGTACGGAGGTAAGGTTAACCCTGAACCCACGGGTCAAACTTGCATCCCTACTCCCAATGGGGGCCCCGATAATATATTATTTACATTAATATATATTAATTATATAAATATAATAAATAATAATAGAGATTTTGAGCTTCTAAAATTCAATAAAATACTATGTTTTTAAGTTGTTAGTATAATGTTTTCGAAATGTTATAATATTTTCGGGGGTGTTAGGTGCATTTTGTGCACCTTTTTGCACACCTTTTAGTCCCTTTTATGCATCTATTTAGCATAGTTGTTCTTCATTTTTCTTGCATTGCATCTAATCCATGTTGGTCTCTAGAACAACCTTATTTGCACGCTTTCATGTTCTTTTCAGGTAAACCGGAGGTTAGAACGCGCTTTAGGAGGTGTCGGGAAGCATGGGTGAAGATTTCGGGATGATCGGGCGCAAAACGGAAAAGTTAGAAAAATCAGGTTTGGATTCGGAGGCAGAGGAGTACACGGGGCGTGTTGGATTTACACTGAAAATAGAGAACAGGTCGTGTTTGACCAGAAAAGAAGTTGTTGACCACACTAAACACGACCCGTGTCAGTTTAGCCCATTTTGACACGGAACGTGTTGGCCCAACTAAGCAATTTTGAGCATTGTACTTTGGAAGCAGAATCGAGGATTGAGTGCTACTTTCCACTCAACACGACCCGTGTTGATTTACTCTATTTTGACACGGGGCGTCTTCGACCCTAAAACTAACTTTTGGCAGCTTTACCTATTTTTCATTTTACGGAAATTGGGTCATTTTGACACTTACGCATGATATCAGAGCACTATTGGTGAGAGGAATTCGAAGGCTTTTGCAAGGATTTGATCATTTATCATTTGGAAATATTATTTCTCTTATTTGTAAGTTGTAATTGCGTACTATTTCCATCTTTTCGACTTGTGATCTTGTTCTAGCCATGTGTGGCTAGAACCCTAGTTTCTCCAACCTTATGTTTTGACTTCTTGAGTTATGATTTTAATCATATGACTTGATGTTTGCTTTTAATTTCTATCTAGTGAATTTGATTTTGCTTTAATCAAATGTTTGATTCTAATTGTGATTCTTATTGGCCATTTGAATTAGGGTTAGGTCATTCAAGTTATCTAATTGCAAAATCCGTAATTGTTTTGTGAATTGGACTAAGTAACAAGCATCAAAATGATTTCCATTGAATGAATTTAGTGTAAATCTTATTCACACACTCTTACACTCCCGAGCTTGTGAGGAGTATTGGGTGTTGTTGGGAACATTCACATAAAGTTTAATGCAATCTTTTGATCTAATTCTAAGAGCCTACTTAGATTAGGTTAGTAAGGTTAGGGTTAATCAAAGAGCTTGTTTTGGTTAATTAATGTAGTGAATGGGAAATGTTAGAGCTTGTTAAGACTTTCAAGTACCAACTTAGATAGAATTGAGCAAGTATCTAGTCATCTTTGAATCGCATTGCTAAGTTGTCATACATAGAGTTGGAGCCCTTACAATTTCTTAATTTAATTCACTCATTTAATTGATTGCTTGTGTCTTTAATTATTTGTTCTAATCATTGCATTTAACCCCCCCCCCCCCTCTTTATTGTTGGTGACCAAAGTACCTAGCGCAAAGAGGTATAGACTGATTGTCCCGTCTCTGTGGATTGACCCTACTTTTCCTTGTACTACCTTAGTGCAATATAGTAGTGTTCTTTTGGAGTATATCGCACCCCTTTATTTGTTGGGTTTGACACGCCTAACAAATTGGCGCCGTTGCCGGGGACACGGTGTTACTAATTGTTTATGCCTAGATCTTTCCGTACAGGTACACCACTGCCAATCGACTCGGTGATAGAGAAGACTGCAAAGAGGTTAAGGAAGCAAGCCAAGCTTCGTAAGACGCAATCGGTTTCCGCTACTTCTTCATCATCAACTGTGACATCCCCAATTTCACGGCCAGAAAAGACCGATTTGTTTATGCTTTGTTTTAAAATCAGAGTAATCTTTTAAAGAAAACTGTTGTGGAATTTGTTCCCAAACAAAATATGATAAAACTTTATCAAAACATTTCTCAAAGAGAATGTACTTTTCATTAAATAA